GTGTAGAGGGAGGTTTTAGGAGAGGGGATGAGGAGGGGTAGCTCACATGATCAGAATGGGGCTACTGCAGGAGTGGGCACAGGGAGGAGAGAAGGGCTGGCGGAGGGGGGCAGGTCTCAGGAAGGCTGAGTGCAGTGAGAAGGGCAGGAGTCAGGACAGCAGAGGAGAGTGAGGGGTTGGGGGACAGCAGGCACCAGGGGAGCTGATGGAGCAAGGAGAGGAGACATGGCAGCAAAGAGAAAAGGTAGAGGTTTATAAGATATTTATTAATAACTTGGGTGATATTTTGATTAATAACTTATTAGTAATTACTGTTCTTATTCTTATTAGGAATTTATGTCATTAAAAAACACTTTTTGTGGAAGAGGGTGGCGAGTCCCTTTTTTGTCTGGCGAGTAGGTTTTCCATAATTTGTTGACCCCTGCAAATGAAGTGCGGGCTATATAAATCCCCGCTACATTTGCAATTTCAAAGTATCCAATTTACATCCCTCTGTCGAAAGAGGGATGTAGTCTAGACACAGCCTGTATGAACAGTTCACAAGTAAAATGTATAGGAAGGGCATGCAACAACATTTCCCTATCCTTCTGTTTCTGTCAGGGTTCTTGTTGCAGCTGTAATCTCCATATTTATTCTCATTGTTTTTGCCCTTTAGTGGTTGGAAAAGTAACTGTAGAAAATGGTTATTTGCATTTCACATATGTAGCAATCAGTGCTTCTGCACTGGACTAGTGTAGGGAGTCTAAAGGCCTAATTTTAAAGGAAAAATGCTAGAATGGAATCTCATCTGTTTCTGTCAGGGTTCTTGTTGCAGCTGTAATCTCCATATTTATTCTCATTGTTTTTGCCCTTTAGTGGTTGGAAAAGTAACTGTAGAAAATGGTTATTTGCATTTCACATATGTAGCAATCAGTGCTTCTGCACTGGACTAGTGTAGGGAGTCTAAAGGCCTAATTTTAAAGGAAAAATGCTAGAATGGAATCTCATTAGCAGCCAAGTACTTTTTCTGAGCAGGAATACACTGATTT